CCGCGCGTTGGCTCCAACGTGACTTTGAGACTTCTGCTGAGTGACTGTTGTTGTGACCGCCGGTTAGCTATATCTGACCGCTGCCAATACAAAACGTGAACAAACATTTCAGCTACAAACGCTGGACTAATATATTCGCACTTGTGGAATAATATTTCGATCACCGGAGATCTGGGATACCAGGAAGATAGAACTATTCTTTGTGTGGTGGTTCAACGGAATACGGAACTACGGAATCTCCTATTTTGAACTGTGAGTCAAGATTTACTTGTATTTTTCTCTTTGTGACTTTGTATCTGGCTTACACCAGTAATTTGTTCAGTTCACTAGAGACTCCATAGGGCCGTTAACCACTACAGACGAACTATTTTAAAGAGAACAATTGTTAGTGAGTCTGTTCCATCCGACCTCTTTATTATTGTATACCCAACCTAGCGTTATTATTTTTACTTCTTCGCCACACACTCCTGATGAACTAACTTACTGGGTAGCCAGACCACTACAAGATCCTTTGTTTGAATACGTATTCCTGCGTACGTCTGACATAAAGCGTAACTACATATCTAAATTTTAGCCTGTAGGACCAGAAATCGAGGTAACGTCTGGTACGTGACGTCTTCGCTGTCCTAGCTGAAACCATTTCGTGTGCACGAGAAACAAAGCCTTATGTGAAGCACATTTGAAACCCAAAAACGACTAACCTGATGTGTCGCCCAGTAGCTTCTGCTGACGTTCGCACGTTTGGTGAAGATTTTTGTTTACAAGGTTAGCTCTCGCAAGCTCAAGCTCAGAAGCTTGTCTCAGGGCTTCGACACGTTCTGTGTTACTGACAGCAACGAGGACATCCTTTTGTAGTTTACTTAGCTGAAAAGGTGATATATTGTTTTATTGTCTGAACAACTTTTTGTGTTAAGTTATCCAAGCCGCTGTGTACTCCGTTGTTAAATGCATCTTGCCTTATTGCATGATGGCCTTTAAATTCTGAAATAGACCGCTGCTATGATGTAAGCCAACCTGCACCTGTGTCAGGTGATTTTTTATTGTTCATTTTTTGACCTGACGGTGTACTGACATCCTCACAGATGTCATTTCCGATGTTCAAATCACGTTCCAAATTTTCAGTGTTATTCATGGGGCTACCTTCTGTCACCATTCTGGAGTGTCATTCGTGATATACTTTTGGTAATAAAATTTTAAAAATACGCCATATTTAAATTACCGCCTCGTTGCGATGGTGATGCAGGTGCATCGGCCGACAAAATTCTAGTCCACTTGTAGCAGCTAGCTGGGCACGCTCAATGATGGCACCTCTTTCTTACATCCCGTGCGGACAAGTCGGTTAACGTATTCGGGGAGTGGTCTGGCGTATGCATCATAGAGTATCCGTAAGGTTGTGCGCTTGATATGAGGGAAAGTTGGCCGAATCATCCGTAGAGCGGTAAGTGCGTTATGGGACGAGTTTTCATGATACATTGAGAAAGACGTGTTTTAAGACAGTAGGGTAACTAAATATAAAATAGGGCGGTACAAGCAACCAATGAAGCTCGTGAATTTAAGACCAAAGCGCAACGCGATTTGAGGCCAGAGAGAACAAGCTGTTAATAATGGAAGGTGTTAAGATAACTGATCAGCACAAAGGGGCGCAGGCCACAACGCAACCAAGATCACAAAGGCACCAGTAGATTCAATAAATTCGTCACCCTTCAGGTAGTCAAGCACGTCAGAAGATAACAGATAGCGTTCAAGTGCTATATAAACGCACGCAGGCACGTAAGAACTACCCATCCAACTGAGCGCTGATGTCTGTTTGCATGGGGACGAAACGTTTGTAAGCCAATCGCCCAGCTCGGCAATCAAATCAACAGCCACCTGAACAACGACCGATATCTTAATCAGCTTGGAAGCTATTTCCATAATGTCTTCCGTTCTGTTCTCACCACACACAACCAAGGCGCTTTCTGGGTACTCTTCAAACAGTAAATGGATGTATTATTTTCATTCAGATGAAGGTGGCAGTGACCACTGCTCTTTGGGACTGAAATAATTGGGAAGGCTCTAGCGTCAATGGCGTCAATGGCTGTGAATGTTCAAAAACTTATCCGTCGTTCTATAACTCTTTAGATATTCTCATGACCTGCGATTTTTGACATTCGCAGATATTCCCTTGAGTCGAAATCCCATTATCTTTGTACACATGCTCTTCTTAGAAGCCAACCGCAAGTGATATTTTGATTTAATACATATTTCGTTCAACTGTAAGGTGGTGTTAAAAAGTTTATAAAGAGTGTCGATAGCAGAGAGTCTTCTGAGGAAGAGAAAGAATCCATTCGTATAATTCCTTCGATAAAAATTAACTTCCTCATCCTTTACTCCTCAGTTTTCACCAATTGCAATCATAGTCTTCGGTCCAACCAAAAAGAGGCTATATTCCACTAGGTGCTTGTAGGAACAGTTCGCTGTGCTCGCACATGTCATGGTTTACGGCGATGCAGTTGAGTTTAGAGCCATAACACAGCTGATCAAAGTTGCCGTTTCAAGCGCGAATCAGTCGGAGTATGGCGCTCTGTGCTATCCTTCAGTTGTGAGTGTCCCTGTAGATTACACTGCCCCTCATTTGTTTCGTTGTTTAAGTGACCTGCGGAACGGTAAACCTCAGGGTAAATCAATAGTAACCTGAGTACGGGAAGATGAACCTTTTGGATTTACGTTGTTATATGAGGATAACTCTTTGAGCCTATTCACGCAATGTTCCACCAGCTTTCATAGAAACAGACTCACCATAACCAAGCCGGTGAACCGCTAGAAACCGACATTAAAAACCTCGCTTATTTGGCCCTCCAATTAAAAATGACTTTCGGCACCATTTCATGACCACCCTCGGCACTCAATAAGCCGTGGATCATGATGTTTTTTATTCTGGAGCCAAAAGGGCTTGTGCCGGTTTCACCAGTCATTTGGCCCCGGAACCCTAAACTTACAAACTCTTCAAAATTTACTCTTGAAAACCCATCACAGCCACACTCTCGGGCCCGACGGTAACGGTGCCGACTGCTTCGGGCTTAATTCCACCACTTATTTGCTCTGCGTACTATATAAAAACATCCCTCGTCGAAGCTGGTGCAGAGGTTATTGTGTTCGGTCATACGTACAACCATATGGCCTGCTATTTGTGTCGCTCCGCGAGTGGTCATTTGGGTGAGCAACAATCACCCATTAGTTTTGATCTGTGCAAAACGTTCGGTAGGTGTTTCCGTCAGCCAATGTGACTTCGCCTTCATGACGTGAGACGCCGAAGGTTCATCACTGTGGTTTCATTCAAATATCAGTTTATCTCGTATAATATCTGCGGTTTTTGCCTGTTTCTTAAAGTGAGAAATTAGTGTGATCGCTGACAGAACCAATTTTTCTCCTTAAATTATTCACGTCGGTTTGCGCACTGGAAACCACATTGCACGTGTGACCAAACCGATCATCGTGTAGCTGGACATTTTGGATTTTGTTAATCGGGAAATCGCACATAAATTTCAAATGGGCGTTGAGTGCCCTATATAGTAACATCTAATTCACAGTCATCAAATAAATCAACCCGCATGGTAAAACCTTGAAACAAAAGCAAATCCAGACGATTTTTTCTAACTTTTCAGAAAAATTACCGTTGTTCTTATTGGTCCCGTTGCTGAGAAACTGTTTAACACCATTTATTTGCACCCCGTACGTCCAGGTGATTGAGTGATCCTGTTCAACTTTTGTTTGTATTGTGCGTGGATTCATGATGAGGAAGTTTCCCGTGGCTGACAGTCAAATATTGCGAATATTAAAAACGGGGAGGCTGCCCACTTCCTGTGAATCTGAAGTAACAGTAATAATAATAATAACAGTAATAACAACCGTAATATTGTTTATTCTCAACTAAAAAGCGGTATACCTTCAGGCATAACCACACGGAATACTAGTGTTAAAATTAACTTCGGGCACCCAGCTGCCATAATGTAGAAGCAACTTATTTTTACTAACTTTTAGGGAAAATATACGTTAAGAACTGTTTAGAATTTTGAAGTCGGTCCCATTCCAACATTTTGCAGTGACTCAATGGTGCATTTACACACATCCTAAAGGCCTTCTTGTGCGTAAATTACGGTCTCTGGAATAAAAATTATGCCGTGTAAGAACCGCCCAGGATTTACCATAAATGGCAATCTTTTTGCTAAAGTATTCGCGTCTATTTATGTTATTTTAGCTGGCTTCTATCATATTCGATGAATTATGGTTAAGCTACCTGTGGGAAAATAGATGTGTCGTGCGATGGCAGCATGACACTGCACACCTAGTTTGAGAGCACAGTCATGACTATTCCCCCCTACACTTGGCCGTATCCTCTAGCACACTCGCTCTATTAGCGCGCAGTACGAACAAACTCCTTGCCTGGCCCGTCCGCCTCCAGAACCGGTTCTTACTAATCTGTGGCTATTCGTTCGGATTTTATCATTTCGGTGGACTTTCAGTCACTTCTCTCCACAAAGTCAATATTACTCTGTACACTTGGCGTTCCAACGCGCGTGATGTCACCAGCTCACACATTCGAGGAGCTCTCACAGCCAACTTCGCCAGAACAGGGGCGAGAGGGAGTTTCTAGAGGTTCGCCGTACAGCATGATTCTGAGATTCCCGCCACCATTTCAACGTCCTCCACTTCATCATCCTCACCTAAAGATTTTGTGACCCTGGCCATAAGTCCAAGCTCACGTGGTGGGTTTAGGTTTCAGTGACCAGCTGCATCACGTAAACTGCGCTGCTTCACAAGGTTTTTAGTTCTCCTCATCTCCCGCAGTTTGCCGTTTTCGTGTCATTTGTCATGCGGAAAGCCTCTTCTTTTGCCCTCCATTGGTTTGTTTTAGCCAGCCACCTTACAAATTCTAAGGATATGATCTTGATCCTGCCCGATATTTTCTTCAAAAAAAGCAACAATAGTACCTGTTCTTCCGCGCTCGTGCCAGTTTAGTTGCAAACACATCCACATCGGATAATGCACACTGTTAGTGACGTATGCCTTTTTTTACACAATCCACAGAACATACTAATTTCGCCCATCATGCTTTGTTCGGACAGTAAGATTATGATCATGCCTGGAGATATTCTTGGAACATTATTATTACCACTATTTTTATCATTAGACTGAACCTTATTTGGTCATGTTTAATATACTGATTTGATATCTAAACAATGATTTCCTGGAGCCTGTTCTATCAGCAACTGCCATCATTCCGTTTTTAGTAACTGGAGAAAGGGTTTCCTCGCAGATAACGGAACGATACTATAGTCTCTTCCTACCCGACGGAAACTCATCTGTTTGTAACGTTAATACAATTGGATGAAAAGAATGCATTTGTGGGCACCGGACAATAATAAAAGCATTGAGTTAACCGATTAAACGAAGATTCCTTTCGCGCATCAATAAAGTGTATCAATTCACCGCATCTTTGCTTCAAATTAAACAAAGTTTGGTGGTGCACCAATCGGTTTCAGTGTTGTGGGAACTGGTCTTAATACCAAGGGACAACATTAGGATGTAAAAACAGCAACAGAGCAACTGCTAGAACAGCAGCATCTTTCTTACTAAACAGACTGAAAGAATCTTTTCTGCGCGTTCAAACGCACGCGATGCATATGTCAAAAAGCATGATCCGCGAGTAACAAGCAAGGACGAGAGTTTTACCTAAAAGAGCAAATGTTGTAGCACACAAAAACGCAAAATGTGAGGGGGAACTGCTAAATTAATTGCAATGTGCAAAGGATTCAGTCAACCGACACATAAAAAGTGGCCCTTCCTAGGTTCCGCCACAAGAGAGGGACT